AGTAGAGACGGAGTTTCACTATGTTGGCCAGGATGGTCTCGATCTCTTGACCTCGTGATCCGTTCATCTCGGCCTCCCAAAGGGATTACAGATGTGAGCCACCGCACCCGGCGATAGAAGTTTTTCTTAAATGCATTAATCACTTAGCTGCTTTCTTCATAAAATATATAGAATGTAGTACAAAATTGCCCACAAAAATGGTTTGAAAAGTGTGTTGCTGGTTAATTTTATTGTGTTGCCAGTTAATTGAGTGATAGCTGCCGACACGATTGAGTATTCCCTTTCTAATACATGGATTTACCTTATTTATATACTTGATAAATTTTGGTTTTGCCCAACTTTCCCTAGCAATGCAGGAGGAAGCTTTAAAGCTGGTTCTGCTGGCCTTAGAAGACGGTTCTGCTTTGTCAAGAAAAGTATTGGTTCTCTTTGTGGTGCAAAGGTTGGAGCCACGGTTTCCTCAAGCCTCTAAAACTAGCATTGGGCATGTTGTTCAGCTCCTTTATAGAGCCTCCTGTTTCAAGGTATGAACCTACCTTAAAGCTCAGCTTGAAAGGAAAACATTGTTCTTTCCCCAAACTTAAGTAGTAAAACTTTGAGTTTAGTGAAGTTGCCTGTGTCTTTTCAGAAAATTTCAGCAATTTTTCTTTATTCTTTTAAAGAATGTAGATAGTGTCTTATTACAGTTAAATCCTATTATATTGAATTTTTATATGTTCAGTATTGAACAATATAGATCAAATCAAGGTTTATAGATTTTTGTATTTGAAGAGACTAAGAAACTATGTCACCAAGACTATGCAGAATTGGTCTGAAGAGAGAGTTATTGAAGCACAGGCTGGAGTGCAGTGGTGTGATCTCAGCTCACTGCAACCTACACCTCCTGGGTTTAAGTGATTCTCCTATCTCAGCCTCCTGAGTAGCTGAGATTGCAAGCAGGGCCAGCCTGGCTTGCTAATTTTTGTATTTTTAGTAGAGATGGGGTTTTGCCGTGTTGGACAGGCTAGTCTTGAACTCCTGACCTCAGATGATCTGCCTGCCTGGGCCTCCCAAAGTGCTGGGATTAAAAGGGTGAGTCACCAAATAAATTTTATTCAGAGATTTTCTCCTAGTGTAATTTCTCATATACAATAATGAAGCTCCGTTTGCCATTTCAGTTTATATGGTAATGCTGGACGTAGTCCCTTATCCCAAATTGAATCAGCGCTGCCTCAAATATTGTTACTCATGTACGATTTATTGTGCGTCCAGTATTATTTTTCTGACTTTTTCTTTTTTTTGAGATGCAGTCTTGCTCTGTCACCCAGGCTGTAGTACAGTGGTGCAGTCTCAGCTTACTGTATCTTCTGCCTCCTGGGTGAAGCAGTTCTCCAGCCTTAGCCTCCTAAGTAGCTGGGATTACAGGCACCTGCCACCACACCCAGCTAATTCTTTTTTTTTTTTTAATTTTTGTAGAGACAGGGTTTTACCATGTTGGCCAGGCTGGTCTTGAAATCCTGACCTCAGATGATCTGCCCACCTCAGCCTCCCAAAGTGCTGGGACTACAGGTGTGAGCCACCAGAGCTAGCCTCTTTTCCTGACTTTTAAAAATCAAACTGTCTTGATTCTGGCACAGCTCATAACCAGTACTTGAAAACCGTGTCTTTTAAAAACAATTGTTAATTCATTCATGTTAGCTGTAAGGAAATGCATTCTCAGATCACCACATTCTGTAAGCTGACACACATAAACTAAAAAACCGCCACATTAGCTATCCTACTAAATTCTATTATCTCATCCTTTGAGAAGGAGGAAATCGTTCACAAAATTAACCGGAGAGCATACAGATTTCATTTAAACAAAAACAATTTTAAATCTCTAGCTAAATGGTGACCTTATTCTGTTTCTTTGTGGAGTCAGACTATATACTGAAAATGGGCCTCTATTTTCTGTGGGTGCCTCTGGAGCTGTAAGAACCCCTAGCTAAAATTACTTTAACTGGTCAGATTGTCTCTGAATAACTCACTCGTTGTAGTGGTTAGAGTAACGTGATTTTACAGTGTAGTAAATCATGTTTACAGACTACATTCTAGAGTGTCTGTCTGCTTGCAGTGTTAATTGTCCATTAACAACACCAGACAGCTATAATATAGGAAACTTTGGAAAGAAAAAATGCAACCTTCCCCTGCGAATTTAAAAGAAAGAAAGAAAACATTCAGTCTTCCCCTGTGAGTTTAAAAGAAAGAAAATATTCAGCCTTCCCCTGTGAAGAAGAATACATGATCAAGAAAATCCAGAATACCCATGAAGCGAACCTCTCTGAACTCTAAAGCATTAACAGTAATATGGCCGGGTGCAGTGGCTCACACCTGTAATCCCAGCACTTTGGGAGGCCAAGGGAGATGTATCATTTGAGGTCAGGAGTTTGAGACCAACCTGGCCAACATGGTGAAACCCTGTCTCTACTAAAAAATTTTTTTAAATTACCTGGATGTGGTGGCATGCATCTGTAATCCCAGCCACTGGGGAGGATGAGGCAGGAAAATTGCTTGAACCCAGAAGGCAGAGGTTGCAGTGAGCCGAGATTACACCACTGCACTCCAACCTGGGCAACAGAGCGAGACTCCACCTCAAAAAAAAAAAAAAAGCGTTAACAGGAATAAAGAAAATTGGAAATTTGCAAAAATCTGCTTTTTCACTCAGGTCATGATTATTTTCTTTGCAGGAATATGTGTCCATACAGCTGTGTTCTTTCTGGGTCCTTTTAGTATCTCCTATATTTCCATTTGAACAGCCCTTTTGAGCTGCAGGATAATTTGTTCTTTCTTACTAAAGTTCTGAGACTTAGACATTTCATCTCTTGGAAATCCTTGATTGTTTTTAGTTAAAGAGAGTGGTGAGAGCCAAGTTCAGGGAACCATTATTACATACAGAAAGCATACTCTGCATTTTAATGAGGTTCAGCATATATTGAGGGGATGCTAAACATGCATTGGTCTTTTGGCTTGCCTTTTAATAATGGCACAATATATTCAGTTTTTGTGACTGTAGTTCTTGATTTTTATCAATTTGGTTTGCATATGTATGTTTCTAACAAAATGTAAGTTAGACTTTCTTCCTTGTAATGAATAAATGTATTCTAATAGAATACATCCCACAAGACTCACTCTTTCAAAAAACAATGCATACGTTTATTTATTAATTTGTTTTTTGAGAGAGAGAGTCTTGCCTGGGATCAAGCAATCCTTCCACCCAACCTCACCAGTAGCTGGACTACAGGCACATGCCACCACTCATGTTAATTTTATAGCAGTGTGACTTAGAAGTCCTGATTACAATATTTTGTAGTTTCTTTGGTGAGAGGGATGAAAATGGGAATTTTGTACAATAAGAAGATGAGTCCTTGTGGTAATAAAATGTTAACAAGGCAAAATGTATTCTAAAACATGTTAGGGTAGAGGTTATCTTAGACTAGAATTAATTAGTTTACTTTGATTTGTTAAGCATTTGGCCTAAATCCAACTTGACTCAGAATATAAGTTATTGGGGTGATATCAATATACCTACCTCAACAAGTTAAGAGAAGTAAATGAGTTAATCCAGCACTATAATGGTTAATAATGTAATTTAATATATTGGCTGGCACATACTAAGTGCTGAAAAAGTGGTAGCTATTTTTATTACTAAATGATATTATCATTATTATGACTAGTCTAGCATCTCACACTTTGCATTTTCTGGTCGGAGCCCACAAAACTCCCACAAAACTCCCTGGAAAATTAAGGCAAGTACAAATTAAATCATTTTTAGAATCGCACCAGCATCTGAAGCTATACAGTCATCAGTCCCAACCAGCTCATTGTCAGGCAAGCCCAGGAGTCACAATCCATATTTATGGAGAAGAAACGTATTGTTTTTCAGAATATATAATTGTATTAGTGTTTCCTTTTTTTCAAAAATGTATATACATACACATACACCTTAAACTGCACGTATGTGTTAAAGTCTATCAAATCTTTGGATTTCATTCCAGCACATGCAGATTGACTATCCCTAACACAAAAATCCAAAATCCAAAACTTTTGAACAGCAACATGATGCTCACATGCTCATTGGAGCATTTCAGATTTTCAGATGAAGGATGCTCAAGTGGTTTAATGCAGATATTCCAAAATTTGAAAAAATCTGAAATCTGATACAATTCTGACCTAAGCATTTTGGATAAGAGATTTTCAGTCTATATTGATGCTTTCTGAAAGGCCTACCAGAAAATGTTGGCCTAAATCCAACTTGATTCAGAATGTAAGTTATTGGGGTGATAATAATATACCTACCTCAACAAGTTGAGGAGAAAATATTTTGCAGGCAAATGGTATATTCCATTTTAATCTTGCTGTTGCTGCTAAATTTGTTACATTAAAAATTATGTGTTCATATAAAGCATAAACTCATTTTTTAAACTTTATTATGAGATTATTTGTGTCTTATTAGGTCACCAAACGCGATGAAGACTCTTCTTTGATGCAGCTGAAAGAAGAATTTAGAACCTATGAAGCTCTGAGGCGAGAACATGACTCCCAGATAGTGCAGATTGCTATGGAAGCCGGCTTACGAATTGCACCAGACCAATGGTCCTCTTTGCTTTATGGAGACCAGTCTCATAAATCTCACATGCAGTCCATTATTGACAAGGTAGAATCTTTTTTGTTCCTTACTTCTTAGACTAATCTTGGAGTTTTGGTAATCTGTGATTTGATAATTCATTTAACAAATGCATGTTAAAGTGAATACTGTATAGCTTTTGTAAATTGTATTTATAGCCAAGTGTCATGTCATAACTAATCACATTACAGTACTACTTTGTTCATATAAAGATTTGATTAGTTTATTTTTTGTTTTATTTTATATTGAATCTGGGTGTCACTCCGTGGCCCAGGCCCAACTGTGGCTCACTGTGGCCTCAATCCTCTGAGCTCAATTGATCCTCCTGTCTCAGCCTACCGAGTAGCTGGGACTACTGGCATGTACCACCACAGTCTGGCTAGATTGGTTTCTAATGCTTTATCCGACACTTTCCCACATTCCTTTGAGAGTCCACCATTTCTATTTTGTCATTGCCTTTCCCTTCATTTTTTGTTCTCTTAGAGTTTTGATCATTGTGTTAAACCCATTTTCTAAATGCTTTTATTGTCTTTCTATAGCAGACATTTAATGATCTGGAAGATCTATACATTGAGGTTTCTTGTGGTTCTTCACCAGAATAATTATACAAAATAATACAGTTATCACCTTTCTAAGTTTGATCAAATTCCCAGTACACATATTCACTTTATCTGTTGTCTATTATGATGAAAGGCCATTAGAATAGATGTGAATTTTAGGTTAGGCTTCATTATTTGCCTTTTTTTTTTCTTTTGAGACATTCTTACTCTGTCACCCAGGCTGGAGTACAATGGTATGATCTTGGCTCACTGCAACCTTTGCCTCCTGGGTTCAAGCATTCTCCTTCCTCATCCTCCTGAGTAGCTGGGATTAGAGGCATGTACCACCTCGCCCGGCTAATTTTTTGTGTTTTTAGTAGAGACGGGGTTTCACCATGTTGCCCAGGCTGGTCTCGAACTCCTGAGCTCGGGTGATTCCCCTGCGTTAGCCTCCCAAAGTGCTGGGATTACAGGAGTGAGCCACCACGCCTGGCTGAGGCTCCATTATTTGTATCTTTACTTAAGAGCCATGTTTCCCTTAAAATCAGAGTAATACACGTTGGGAGGCCGAGGCAGGTGGATCACAAGGTCAGGAGATCGAGACCATCCTGATCAACATGGTGAAACTCCCTCTTTACTAAAGACACAAAAATTAGCTGGGCATAGTGGCGTGTGCCTGTAGTCCCAGCTACTTGGGAGGCTGAGGCAGGAGAACTGCTTGAACCCAGGAGTCAGAGGTTGCAGTGAGCCAAGATCGCGCCATTGCACTCCAGCCTGGGTAACAAGAGTGAAACTCCATCTCAAAAAAAAAAAAAATCAGAGTAATACTGTAACTGTTTTTATTGTAAATCAACATGAAATATATGAAAGTGCTATAAAAACATGATGAAACCCCGTCTCTACTAAAAATACAAAAATTAGTTGGGTATGGTGGTGGGCACCTGTAATCCCAGCTACTCAGGAGGCTGAGGCAGGAGAATCGCTTGAACCCAGGAGCTGGAGGTTACAGTGAGCCAAGATCTCTGGCACTACACTCCAGCTGGGCAACAGTGCAAAAAAAAAAAAAATCTTAAAACACCATATAATATATAGTATGTTCTATAATATTATTATTTAAGTTTGCTATTGTATCTTTTCTTTTTGAGACAGAATTTCACTCTTGTCATCCAGGCTAGAGTGTGCTGGCGTGATCTTGGCTCGCTGCAACCTCTGCCTCCCAGGTTCAAGCAATTCTCGTGCCTCGGCCTCCTGAGTAGCTGGGATTACAGGCATCTGCCATCATGCCAGGTTAATTTTTGTGTTTTTAATAAAGGGTTTCACCATGTTGGCCAGGCTGGTCTCGAACCCCTGACCTCAGGTGATCCACGTGCCTTGGCCTCCCAAAGTGCTGGGATTACAGGTCTGAGCCACTGCGCCAGCAATTTCACTATTGTATCTCAAATGCTAGAATCACAGCGATGATTGCCAACCCTAGAGACCACTCTACATTTAACTTAAAGAAATAGAGTCAAATAGTAAGATTAAAAAACAAATAATTAACGTTACTAAAATGGTATCTAGTGGTTTTAAATAACTCATTTAATCCTTTCAACAGCCTTGTATTATCCATTTTAGACAAAGACAAAGGGAAGTTAATATGTTTTTCCAGCATCACATAGAGATAATAAGTAACAGAAGTGGATTTGAACTTGGGCATTCTCACTGTAGAATCATGTTCTTAACCACTAACCTTTTACCAAACTATCCAAACTATTTTTTCCTTTTTTTTTTTTTTTTTTTTTTTTTTTTTTTTTTTTTTTTTTTTTTTTTTTTTTTTTTTTTTTTTTTTTTTTTTTTTTTT